GTGTATGTATGTATGTATGTATGCATGTATGTATGTATGTATGTATGTGTATGTATGTATGTATGTATGCATGTATGTATGTATATGTGTGTGTGCCATTCCACATTATTACAAATAACTTCATTTCTGGACATTTATAGTTTAATTTCTTTGCATGTATGGATCACTTGGGTTGTTACCGACATCTGGTGAAAATTTCATATCATTAGCACCTCTAGTAATATATTTACTGAGAAAAATGTTGACGTGTTCAATACTTATTTTACCTGCTGTATAATGCTTTAAAAGAGTTTTTTTTAATTCAGTTTCATTTTGGATCTATGATTCAGTAAAAGTAGCAAAAAGCTAACAAAAACATACAATGGAAGAACAGTAGCTAAGATTATCAAATGGCTAGCCTGAAGCTAAAAAGCAAATACATGTTTTAAGTTAAAAGTAGCATAAAACTAGGTATGTAGAATAGAATAGAATAGAATAGAATAGAATAGAATAGAATAGAATAGAATAGAATAGAATAGAAACAGCCTTTATTGTCCTGCAAGGGGAAATTCCGGTGTAGTTGCAGCAGCAGGTACATCAATCCACAAAATAGTATGTTGCCATGTAGCAATATCAATAGTAGCAACAATACAATTAAAGATTAAAGATTGTAACAATAAAAATAAACATTTGTCAAAGTAAAAACAAAGTGATAATTACAGTACCGTATATTATGTATAGCCAGAAACTAAAAATATCATAGGGCTTAAGACCTAGAGTAGCAAAACACAGGCTGTATGCTAAAGGTGTCCTAATGCTAGCTAAAATATTAGAAGGGTAAGGAGAATAAAATGTCTTAAAGATAAAATTAGTAAAAATCTAGCAAGAAGTTAAAAGTAGCAAAAGTGTAGCCTTATGTACCAAAGTGCTAAAAATTAAAAATTTGTGAAAGGTAGCTTAAAGTGCAACTAGCTAAAAGCTGAAATTAGCAAAATGCTAACTAAAAGCTGAAAACAGCAAAAGAAAAGAAGAACAGAGCCAGGATACAAAAGCAGCTTTCACAGAGAAAATGACTTTTAAAGAAAGGAAAGATTCTTGTTTTTTAATGAATGGATAATAATTAAGTAG